TGACGTAGGAACCGTCAATGACACGGCGTCGAGTTATAGAAGCTAGCTGAAGTTATCGCAGGACTCTCTTTGTATTGTCTTGTGTTTCTCCCAATGGCATTATCATCAGGGGTTTGTTCCATCATCACCTTCTCCTGTGGTGTGATATCATTGATGATCAGCATGGACGAAGCTTTGCACGATGAATGCCAGGCATGATCCTTTCCACCACCAGGCTGAACGCACTGCATGTAGTTTGACATCGTTCTTCGTATCCTGCCTCCTCCTCCCTGCAGTTCTTCTTCAGGTGTGTGTGTCCTCTCTCCTGCAGAAACCAGGCATGGACCTGGCCGACACCTACATCACCTTCATCCGGCAGAACCAGGACATCCTGCGGGACCGCGTCAACGACGAGCTGTACACCGAGAAGGTGTTCGAGGTGAGTCTAAAACACAGCCGGTTTACCGCAACCTAGGTCATACTTTTGGAGTTCTATCGGTTATAATAACGTTGTACTTACGATGTTTATACCTGAGATAATATCACTAAAAGAAATCAAATGATGCGAGAAATCTAACTTGAAGCAACACACAGTTCATCAAGTTTATCTAAAGCATGTTAATGATGCCGACGTAAATGGCTGACGTATTTAATGTAGTAAAACAAAACGTTAAAATCTCTTGATTGGTTGTTAACCTGTGGTTACACCAATCAGAACGTCAGGACACAAAAACGGTTACAGTGTATTCTAGGGATGTAACAATACCAAAAAATCACGGTAAGATAATATCGCGATAAAAAGTCCACGGTACGATATTTATCGCGATATTGAAAAATAAAGGAACAAATTAGATATTTTTTTTTTTACTTAATTTTTTTTTCTTTATGAAATAATTAATCTGATCTGTACAGCATTTTAGTAGATAGTAGTATTTTAAAGTGTCAACAATATAATAATCAGACCCTGCAATAGAATCAAGTTTCACTTTAGTTTTTCAAGTAACTCAACTCTAACTCACTCACTCACTCACTCACTCACTCACTCACTCACTCACTCACTCACTCACTCACTCACTCACTCACTCACTCACTCACTCACTCACTCACTCACTCACTCACTCACTCAGCGGCATCAAGGTTATCTTTTAGGAATATGAGCATGTCCACATTTCCAGGTAGAAGCTGGGATGTTTGGGCGTTTGCAAAATCCCCTGCTGTGGAAACAACTCTCTTGCTTGGTACTGATGTTGCTGGGACAGAGAGGTATGCTTTGGCCATGGGTGACAGCAGTGGGTCAAACTGTGCATTGTCTCTCCACCACTTCAAAAACAATACAGTGTTTGCCAAGAAGGTGAGGCTTATTGACAGAGATATAAATATACTGTTGGTACTTGTCAATGTCTCTAGGTGTGTACATGTAGCCCTGTAAATACCATGTCCTTTTGTGTTATCTGTTGTTTTATGTTCATGTTGTAACCTACTTGCTGCCATGTTGGACAGGTCTCCCTTGAAAAATATATTAATGATCTCAATGGGACCATCTGGTTAAATAAAGGTTTAAAAAAAAAAAAAATTATTTAAAAGAAAAATCGCAGTAGATTTTGTCAGTCTCACGACGGTATTGAGACATCTATTTACCGCGATATTCGATATATCGTTACATCCCTAGTGTATTCTCCAGGCATGATCACATAAGAGCTGTTCAGTTTTTCATTCATTTCTAAGTTATTTCTCTCAGACAAGTTGACAATCAGAAAGCGCTGTACTGTATCTCGCACTGAAGCCGGGTAAACGGCTGTCATGGTGGGGTGGACCGATGGACAGACCAACGATTTGCAGTAAACCTTCGAATCAGCGTGAGTTGAACAGCCGCTATGAGCGTGTAACAAACAGACGTCAATGTTTATGTTTTCTTGACAGGTAGCGTTTGTGTGAATAATGACTCAATTAAATATCAACTGCACATGTACCTGCTGCAGGTAAACACCGAACACACTTATCTTAACCCTGAGTGTAAGTTGTAATTGATGTTGACTCCAGTTAAGAGCATCATTACCTCCACCAAGGAGGTCATGTTTTCTGTCAGGTAGTTAGCTTTTAAAGCAGGATAAAAGGAAACCTGGCCTGATTTACTGGAAACTAATCGAAAGGGCGTGGCATGGGCAAAGGAAGAACAAGGGATCATTTGCAGCGAGGGGCCATTACAAGTTTCATGCTCTCCACAAATATAAAATGATATTCAAAACTATTCCAGTGTTTTCTGAAGGAGGAAGCTAATCCAGAGCGGATTAATAAAATTGCCCGGACTTCTTTCTGTGGATTGATTGGACTGCACATAGTCACTTGATCCTCCTTAGCAACAGTCTGTTATCCTTAGCAACGATCTGTTAGCAGAAATTAGCAGTCTCTGTAATGTTAAAATTGACCAATCAGAATGGAGTATCCAACTAAGCCCTGTAAAAAGAATGAGTCGGACAGCAATCAAATGCTTTTATTTGATTTGTGTCATAATAAAAGCATTTGATTGCTGTCCGATTTTGTACTATTTAAAACAAATGGAGGACATGTTGACGATAATGTTTTACTGCGTCAGATCTTTTCATACGCAGTAGCTGCCTGTCTAGAAAGCCCACCTTGCTGATAGAGACCTCCACACACACACACACACACACACTGCTCACACACAGCGAGGTGTGTGTTCTCTCAGAGCTTTCATTGTGCCGCAGCAGCAGGTCGCTGTGAGCTGAAAACACACACCGCTTCTGTTTGACCTGTTTATCACTTAGGAACCACGAGAGCCTTCTGCACACACACACACACACACACACACACACACACACCACACACACACACCCTCCACCTAAACACCCTTCGTCCATCCCACACCTGTCCCTCTTCCTCACACACCACCTCTCTCCAGGATTCAGATTTATAAAAATATTTCCAAACATCCAAACCATCTCTCCGCCGTGCATCAAAGCAGCGGAACATGGCGGCTCAGAGCCTCGGACACATTAGCAGCCACGAAGCCGAGCGATGATTTCTGCACCCGCCGCCTCCTGAGGGTTTCAGAGCATTGTAGCCGAGGCTCCAGAGAGTGTGTGTGTGTTGTATGTGTGTGTGTGGAATGAGTCTAATGGAGCTCAGAAGCAGCCAGTCATGCACCGAGGAGGAGCCGACGCTGGGCCTCTCAGCCTTTCAACGTGAAACACACACACACACACACACACACACACACACACACACACACCACACACACACACCCATCCCCGATGTGTTAAATCGTAATTGACAGCCTGTATATTCTTGGCTGTAACAAAGACATCTTTAAAGTCTTTATTCTCTTCTCCTTTTTGTCCTAAATGTCCACAAACGACAACATTCCTACCGCGCTGTTTACACAAACTAATCCCAAAAAGATTTACACTAATGTGTGTATTTTTATGCCGTGCACACTCCGATCAACGTACATTCCCACACATGCCATTTTGCTTCTCTGCGCCAAAAATATGATTTAGCAAAAGAAAATGTTAATACTGGTCTGACATATTTTAGGACCAAATGATTAATGTTATACGAACCTATCGTGCAAATAATGCTGCTTTCATCCTCATTCCCCGATACAATACAACTTTAAAGGCCCTCTGTACACACACACACACAACACACACACCACACACACACACACACAACACACAACAGTCAATCTTGTATTGAGACAGCAGCATCAGGCCTCCAGCCAGGTGCATTATGGGTATGCAATTGTCTTGTTTACCTGCGTCTGAGCAAGTCAAATTCATGATGGAGCCTTTTCTTCAAGCAGGAGGTTCATCGTGTGTGTGTGTGTGTGTGTGTGTGTGTGTGTGTGTGTGTGTGTGTGTGTGTGTGTGGTGTGTGTGTGTGTGTGTGTGTGTGTGTGTGTGTGTGTGTGTGTGTGTGTGTGTGTGTGGTGTTGTGTGTGTGTGTGTGTGTGTGTGTGGTGTGTGTGGTGTGTGTGTGTGTGGTGTGTGTGTGTGTGTGTGTGTGTGTGTTGTGTGTGTGTGTGTGTTTGAGGGGGGGTCCTCTGCACGCAGCTGTAAACACTTTTTTATTTTTGTCTGTGTGTGCATGCTCACATGTGCCTCTCCATCTATTTGTGTACAAGTGCTCACCAGGGAATGTCTTTGTGTGGATAGGAGTGTAATTCATGCCCACACACACACACCACACACACACACACACAACACACACACACACACACTAGCAGCCAGATCACCTTAATGAAGCGTTTTTAGAGGACAAACCTGCAGGCTGTGAAAGACCATAAATAAACGAGATGTGGATTCAAGTCCTAGAATCCCAAATTCAGTCTTTAACGATATTATTATTTTTTTCAACAAGATCTAATATTTGAAGTTTGTTTTATTGTTGCAGGTTTATTTAGGATCCATTTTTTTTAAGGCAGAGAACAGAAATTGGCTCAATAATTAAGGAAAAGACCTTAAAGAATTACAAATATTTTCATCATCCTTGTTTTTCTTTTTAGAAAATAAATAATTTGTTGTCGCTCAAAGACGAATCGTTTTGTTACAAAATACCCTTTCGTTTTTACTACAGTGCAACATTTATTCTATTGCTTTTGTATCTATATTTTCTAGAAATGCAATCTGTTTCTCACCACATCTCAGCACCAGATTCAAGACGACGACTTATAAATAATAATAATAATAATACATTTTTAAATTAGAGACTTAATAGTTAATTATTTTACAAAATGACTGTTTTTTTTTGCCAAGCCTTGACAATGTGTGAGATGTTCAAATGACATCGTTACTGTGACACCAGCAGGAAGCCTCTCCTCTTCATCACGTAGAAATTGTTTCTAACAAGACCAATGCAGCCCCCCCCCCCCCTTATATACCCTCCATCTGTTTCCCCTCTCGTCCTCTAATCAGCTCAATTAAGGAGCGTCTTCGTACTCAATTTCCACGACAGCTAACGCGGCGCGCGAGGCGAGCGTCGGGCCGATGATTATCCGCTACTCGCCTCCCAGAAACTCAGAGAAACGTTTCACTGAGGGGGGGGGGGGGGGTAGAGGAGAGAGAAATCAGAGGAAATCATCCCAGGAGCAGCAAACATCGTCCAGTAATTTCAACATGGTCGAGCATCTGTTAGCACAGCGAGCCGATTAGCACACGACTCGAACTGCAGCGTTAGAAATGTTTAGTGTCGATAGAGGAGGAGGAAATGAGGAAGAGCAGACATTAGTGATGGTGGAGGAATCTGTCATCCGCAATGAAACCTTAATGGATGTCTCTTCTGATACACCAAGAGAGTGGAAAGCAACTTTACTTGATTATTTCCATGTTATGCTACTTTATTCTTCTCTTCATTTATTTTAAACATTACTTATTATAGCTTTGTTGAATACTCGATCCTGATTGGTCAATTTCAACATTCCTCGATTTTTTGCTAACAGATCGTTGTTAGGAGAACAGACTGTTGCTAAGGAGCATTAATGGACTGTGTGCATTCATATCAATCCGCAGAAAGAAGTCCGGTCAACTTTACGTCAGCTGTGGAAAACAGTCTTTTGTTTTCTCCATCAGAAAACTTTGTGGAATTCTTGTTTAATATTTATTTTGATATTTGTGGAGAGAAGGAAACTCCGGATTGATGATGGCTAAACTGTCTTCAGTAAAGAAAAGAGAAGGAAAGAGGTTAAAAGACAGAAATCATTAGACAGGAAGTAAACACTAACAGGAAACAGTAGAAGAAGACAGACAGGAAGTAAACACTAACAGGAAACGATGGGTGTTTCTCAATGTCGAGGAAGGATGCTCCAGAACCGCTATTTCAAGCATACTACGTCATCGAGTGCCGCCGAAGGACTGTTCCAATGTCCAGGCTCCTTGGAATTCTACCGAGTCCGGCGTCCTTCGTTGCGGGGAATTTCGAGGCTGCACATGTGTATCCTCTGCGGTCTTAAAAATCCCCACAATGCTTTGCGCGCGGAAATCTGTGGGGGAAAATTTAAGGCGCACACTTGCTCGCCTGTTCCACTCTTTGTTTTCCGAATGCCAGGAAGGATTCTTGCCTCGCTTCTGAAGGAAGTGACTCGGAAGACATGTCCTACCAAGCAAGCGTCCTCGACATTGAGAAACACCCATGGACTCTGGCAGAGTTTAAAGACTCGTTAATATTAATGAAATGTGGAAAATGTTGGACATTTAAATAACAATTCGTTCAGTGCTGCTGTCATTTTAAGATACGTTGATGTCGCCGCAGTTTCAGTCGTTGGTACTTTTGATATCGGAAGCAAAACGACCATTTTCAAGCCAATAGTGTGTCAGTGAAATCCAGAGTGACTTGCTATGGAGTATCAGAAATAATAAATGAGAAGAAACAAGCCGTTAGAGACAAGGCTCTTTCCGTTAGTAAAAAACACGATGTGGGTTTGGATCCCATGTATTCGGATCCGCTGCATCATTGAATGTATTTTTATTTAGCTCAACAGTTTTTACACCAAGTTTTAGGAACATGTTGTCACTCGTTTTTTCGTAATCCTGCTCACAACGGAGAAGTGAAACCTGTGGCTCAAAGAAAGTAGAACTCCATTGAATACAGAGAAAGAAACACAAAGTATTGATGTGCCTTTCTTGCACAAATATTGTCTTTTATGTCAGTGTCTGTACGTATAAATAGTCAATTGATTGCGATGCTAGTTGTGTGGATGTACATTTGCTGTGGCTCAAATTGAAATGTGTGTCTGTGGAAATTGATAACATTTAGAGGTCAAAATTGGTGCTCATCTCAAAGATGTGTTTCCTAAACAAACAGAATTGAGGAGGAAATGAGATAAGTCAGAGTGTGAAGCACACACACACACACACACACACACTCCCAGTTCGCTGCACATAATGCTAGCTCACATTACCTGTAGGAGGCAAAGCAATACAAAGTGCAGAAATACTCACATCTGCACGACTTATGGAAACAGCGGTGGCATCTTAAAGTGCGCCAGAAAACCCTTTCCTCTTCACAGCGTGGAGCTTTCAAACAACAGCCTTCAAAGGACAGACACTTTCTCTGAGAGCAAACTCACTGTTAGTAAGACCTCTGATTGAAAGTCCACATTCATTCTGGTTTGCTTGACACTGCTTCATTACTTTGACATCATTAAAGGAGACGGTGTCGCTCCCACAATAAATGGATTCAAATATTTGCGTGACCCCCGAATGATCACGGACGTGTTTTGGCTTTTGTCAAGTGCATTAAATAACCTTTGGACAGCTTTTATCTCTCAAATTGGAAGGTAATTGCAGTCCATGTCGGTGTGAAATGAAGTCTGTTGAGGCAGATCTGAATATTACGGGTCATTACGGTGTCAGAGCAATTTCCCTCTGCATTCTCGCTGGGTGGTGGGAGGTGTGAAGGAAGAGAGTTTAATGAACATTTCAAAGCAAGAACCTGATTATTTCTCAGGTCGACGCAGAGCCGTGAACTCTTCTTCCCCTGACACGCTGCATTCAGGAGTTTCACAGTAAATTGGTACCTTTTTAAAATAAAGAACTGTCCCCCCCCCCCCCCCCTCTTTGAGTTGTCTGTCCCCCCCCCTCTTTGAGTTGTGCCGTTCGGATGCTGCTCATCCTTTGACCTCGTGTTGAAGCGTTGTGTTTCTAAAGACAGCTCTGAACTCTGAACCCAAACCATAAACCGCCCTCTTTAGCATCACCATAATGTTGTTTTTATGTATGTTCTTTTTAAGCATATTTAAAGAAACTCCTCAAGGTGTTTGCTCTCGGTTTTCTGACTTCAAAAACAGCTTGACGATGAAAAATACGCTTTCTGCTAGTTTCTGTGAATAATGTGCTCTGGAGCTGGAGGGTCACTTCCTTTATACTGCGAAATGTGTTATACTCAGCCTGTAGATGTATGGTAGCCTCCGAGGGTCATGTGTCATCCCTTGTAATACTCCACTCTAAAGGTTAAGGCTGTTAAAAATCAAGGTGTTGGCTTAATGTGTCTTATTGTGAAACTCCAAACTTATAATAATCCACTTTTTGCGTTTTTTCAGCACTGTGTGTTGCGGCTGCCATTTCTCTACAGTCAGATGGATTGAAGTGAATAGGAATAAAAACAACTTTCTTTTACAAATACAAAGTGAAAAGTCTGTTTTGTGTCAGTTTCAGGAGATTTTCACTCCTCCTGAGTTTTGGTAGGAAATATGAAACCTTAACACAGACACTTTGCTTTGAAGAAAAGGCTTTATTATGTTATTACTTTTTGTCAACTTGGGTCATCGCTTATCATCGTACTCTAACATTGAGGTTGTGTCCATGTATTACATGATAAGTTATAACTACAAATTATTCAGGTCATTTACACATAAAATAAGTCGTTATGGTAAAAAGGGTTGAGGTCATGTCCATATATCGTACGATAGGTCGATAACGTAAAAATGCTCAAGGTAATTTCTGTATATCGTACAATTTGTCCATAATGTAAAAAAGTATCCAGGTAATTTACATACGTCATACAATAAACAATTTACATAAAAACGATCCGGATCACGTCCATTTTTAGTCCGATCGAGATCATGTCAACATACCATAAGATTATACGATTTATTGTACGATATGTCTACGATGTGAAAAGTATTGAGCTCACGTTCATATATCAAACAATCATTTGATAACGTAAAAGGATTGTGTTCATGGTTATATATTGTGTGTTAGATCAATAACAATAAAGTCATTGTTCCTTTATCGTTGATCACTTTAAAAGGATTGAGGTCATGTCCATATATCGGACGATAGGTCGATAACGTAAAAACGATCATGGTCATTTCTGTATATCGTACAATTTGTCCATAACGTAAGAACTTATCCAGGTCATTTACATACGTCATACAATAAACAATTGACATAAAAATGATCCGGATCACGTCCATATTTAGTCCGATCGAGGTCATGTCAACATACCATAAGATTATACGATTTATTGTACGATATGTCTACGATGTGAAAAGTATTGAGCTCACGTTCATATATCAAACAATCAATTGATAACGTAAAAAGGATTGTGTTGTGTGTCGTATGATGGATCAATAACGTTAAAGTAATTGTTCCTTTATCGTACATTAAGGTCATGTCCGTGTATGAGATGACTAGATAACGTAAGAATTGTTGATTTGAATTCCATATATTGGATAAGTTGAAAATGTGTGTTATAATCCATAATTGCGCAGAAACACCATGTGACCACATCAGTGTGTTGTTGTTGTTGTTTACAGCAATGGTACAGCAGCTCTGTGAAGTTGGTGTGTGTTTGGCTGACGGACAGAATGGACCTGCAGCTGCACGTCTACCAGCTGAAAACACTCATCAAGATCGTTAAGGTACGAACTGTTTTAAGATCCTCAGAAGAGAACAGAAAGTGGGTCCAACACAAACTGATGAAATGCACATTTCTCTAACTTTTTACCCACAAGTCTCCTTTTCTCTGCTGTGAAAAGAAAGGCAGTGAAAGAGCCTCAGACTGGCAAAACGTTGTCTTCAAATGACGTCTTATTCGTGGTAAAACAGCCAGAAGTGACATTGAAGAAGAAGAACAACAACAACGAGAAAAACACGGACGAATCCAACGAGGAGTGTCCTTGAAGCAGCAGCGGTGTGAAGAGAAGAGGAAGGAAACAAAAAGCTCAACGGAGACGCTTTGTCTTTTCATAGTTCGCTAATGTGCAGAGATGCGCGAGTTTAACTTGAAAGCAAACAGACCAGGAATCATAATGGCTTCTGACTGAAGGTAAAAAACCTTTAGACGCCTCGGCCCGACACATAAAAGACTCTGTTTGTCCTTGAGCTTTTTGTCCTTTCAGACGCAGAACGGCAGCTCCCTCTCCCTCCTCCTCGATGCATTCCTCAGACGCTCTGTTTCCTTCTTCTACTTTATCTCCTAAAACAGAAGAACTATCCAGACTTCAGGCCAAAGGGATCATTTCATTTCATCGTTGTGTCCCTGGGCGAGTGTCTTGCCCAGGGACACAACGACATGCTGACTGCAGTGGGGTTTGAACCTGTGCTCCCCTGAACACCAACGCACTAGCCCACTGCGCCACAGCCTCCTGTGTTAGTACGATAAGCTGCTAAGTCAAAATGATGGAGGTCATTTCCATATATCGTGAAATAAGTCGATAACAAGAAAAAGATCATTTACATATAACGTAGAAATTCTCAAGAATGTTTCCATATATCGTACGATACCTTTAAATGGTCGAGGTCACGTCCACATATTGTCATTTTAATACAGTATGTCGTACAATAAGTCAATAACATAAAATGATGTTTAGAAATGACAGATAATTTCCACATGTTGTACGATGGGTAGATAAAGTACCCCATTTTTATTTTTCAATTTTATTTTCATATTTATCGTCTGTAAGTTAATAATGAATAAATTATCAATGGTATTAAAAGGTCGAGGTCTATCTATATATTATCACATAGGTCAAGGTTATTTTCTATTGTATGATAAATGAATAATGATTGAGTCTTTTCTATATATGGTACAACTAGTCAATGTTAAGACTCAATCTTCCCGCTAAGTTTCTTCCAAACTGCATTTCTAAGATGCTCTCTTTTCCCTCCCTTCCCCTGCTTCCTTGTCTCCTTGTCTCCATCAGAAGACGTACCGTGACTTCCGGCTGCAGGGCGTTCTGGACGTCTCGCTGAACAACAAGAGCTACGAGACCGTCTACAACCGTTTGACGGTGGAGGAGGCGACCGCCGCCGTGAAGTCTGGAGACGGCCTGCAGGGGATCAGCATGAGAGACAGCGACCAGGAGGACGACTGAACACACACACACACACACACACACACACACACACACACACACACACACACACACACACACACACACACACTTCATACCGTCACACACACATCCTCTCTCTGAAGGACCAGGACCTTCCATCACACTGAGTTATGTTCTAGATCAGGGGGGTCCAAACTTGTATCACTGAGGTCCACATAATAATAAGAATAATATAATAATAAACTGTATTTGTATATAACCTTTCAGAATCAGAATACCTTTATTAGTCCCACAGAGGGTACATGTACATTGTTACAGCAGAAAAGAGCCAAAGACAGCTTAATGTTACCTAAGAAACAAAATACACATCTGTAAAAGTTCTGAGGATTTATCAGCCAGGTATATATTGCACAGTAGTTAACGGTATATATATATATATATATATATATATATTGCACATAGTTGGTATTTAACAACAAGGGGTGTTATAGTCTTTCATGCACAAAGCAGCTCAACGTTCTTTACAGAACAAGAAGAAATCATTCAGTTCAATTCAAAGGTTGTATTGTCATGTGCACAAAGCTGCAGGGTAGAGATGGCAATGACATGCTTCTGACCTGAGCTCCTCCCACAATGCAACATATATATGATAAAGTACAAAATAACAAGTTGTGGAAAAAGTCTATATACACGTAAATAGAGTATGATATGTACGAGAACAGAATATGAAATATACATAACAACAGAAATAAAAAGATAATGGTAATAAAAATGCCATAATTCTAATAAAGGTTAAAGAAATACTAGATTATACTCAGGCTGTAGTTTGGACACCCCTGTTGTAGATGAAGAAGTGTGAAGCAAAGTCATCGTGGCTGAACGTCCTAGTAAAAAAAAACCTCTTGCTCATTGCCTTGAAATTGCTGAGAATGTACAGGAAGTCAAAAAGAGGCGTGGCTTCTGACGGACCAATCCCTGTCCTGTCCTCCCTCGCTCACTCACCTGCAGGACAGGAAGCCCCGCCCCCTTCAACACGCAGCCATACTCTAATTGATGTCAATTTGTACAGCGATGGCCATCAGTGCATTTTCTTCCTGTTGTTTCTTTTCCATCGTCATGGTCGTAGCTTATTGTTCAAAAACACTCCGACAGTTCTTGGTGACTTCGCCGCCTTTTAACGATGTTTTTAATCTACAGCAACGGCAGCAACAATCGACTAAAGAGATTAAGGAAGCTTGGATTTGTAAGTTTCTGTTTCAATCAATAACTCTTTCCTTGTCTCTTTAAAGTAGAGACACTACATACTGATACACACCTGAACATCAGCAGGAGAGGACTCTTTAAAGTAGAGACACTACATACTGATATACACCTGAACATCAGCAGGAGAGGACTCTTTAAAGTAGAGACACTACATACTGATATACACCTGAACATCAGCAGGAGAGGACTCTTTAAAGTAGAGACACTACATACTGATATACACCTGAACATCAGCAGGAGAGGACTCTTTAAAGTAGAGACACTACATACTGATATACACCTGAACATCAGCAGGAGAGGACTCTTTAAAGTAGAGACACTACATACTGATATACACCTGGACATCAGCAGGAGAGGACTCTTTAAAGTAGAGACACTACATACTGATATACACCTGAACATCAGCAGGAGAGGACTCTTTAAAGTAGAGACAATACATACTGATATACACCTGAACATCAGCAGGAGAGGACTCTTTAAAGTAGAGACACTACATACTGATATACACCTGAACATCAGCAAGAGAGGACTCTTTAAAGTAGAGACAATACATACTGATATACACCTGAACATCAGCAGGAGAGGACTCTTTAAAGTAGAGACACTACATACTGATATACACCTGAACATCAGCAGGAGAGGACTCTTTAAAGTAGAGACACTACATACTGATATACACCTGAACATCAGCAGGAGAGGACTCTTTAAAGTAGAGACAATACATACTGATATACACCTGAACATCAGCAGGAGAGGACTCTTTAAAGTAGAGACACTACATACTGATATACACCTGAACATCAGCAGAAGAGGACTCTTTAAAGTAGAGACACTACATACTGATATACACCTGAACATCAGCAGGAGAGGACTCTTTAAAGTAGAGACAATACATACTGATATACACCTGAACATCAGCAGGAGAGGAGTCAACTCCAAGCTCTTGATATGTTGCTGCTCTGCTGTAGTTTCTGAACTCTCCGTAGCTCAAAATGTCCCAAACAACCATCGGCCTCAGGTGGTGGAACGTGCAAAAAAAAGAAATATTTCTACAGTAGTTGGAAACTGAAACGGACCGAATCAGGAAACAAATCTACGCAGGTCTACAAACAAAAAGTCTCACAAAAGGTTGAAATACTCTGAGATTTGGGGGAATAATCGTCCAGAATCACGACTACATGTTGATGTTCATCGTGAAACTTACTGTTGTGAAGAATAATGTTGAGCTGTAGAGGTGATATGGTCGTACTGCATCATGTCCAACATCGATCAAAGTCTTAGAAACGTGCCGACGAACTGCAAACATCGGGACTTTTTAACAGGAACATTTGAACAGATCATCTCGGATGTTTCTCACTCACTCGTCCGTTTGCGTGTCGTTGAGAAAAAAAAGACCGTGTTTAAAAAGCTGCCGTTTGTTCAGCTGTCAGATCCAGTGTGTGTCAGTGCAGTTTCGAAGGACAAAAATACTATATGAAGAAGTATATTTATATTGTCTTATTGTGCACCTGTTTTGTTCAGGTGTCTAAATGTCACTATTAAAAGTGTTTTTAAAGCACCTGTGTTTTCACTTCGTGTTTTTTTTTATTGTCTTCACCAGGGCCGTGTCTAGCTGTTTGGGGGCCCTATGATGCTGTTTGGGGGCCCTAGTTTTTACATGTTACTTGTTAGTCGCTTTGTATAAAAGTATACTCAATACTGAGGACAATCCCCACAGGAGCAATGTGGGGTGAAGAGTCTCAGGGACACAACGACGTGCTGACTGCAGTGGGGTTTGAACCTGTGCCCCCTGATCCGAACACCAACGTACTATACCACTGCGCCACACACCTCCTACACTTTTTTAACTACAATGGGGGGATTCCGAAGCCTTTAAGATGATCTGTGGAGACGCATCAATCTGTTACACCTTAAGAGGAAAACAGGCTAATTTCACCAAAAACAAGCAATTAAAATTTACAAAAATGATATTAAAAAGGTAAACAATAAGGCTCCTCTACGTCAATAAACGCAAGGTAAACAAAAAGGCTCCTCTACGTCAATAAACGCAAGGTAAACAATAAGGCTCCTCTACATCAATACACGCAAGGTAAACAAAAAGGCTCCTCTACGTCAATAAACGCAAGAGATGCAGCATTTTCTCAACAATGTATAATTTAAATTGTTCATCTTCCTCAGACGTCACTCATTGGCTGACAGCCCAACGATGATTTGGACTTTATTGATCCCCAAAGACCCAAGCCTCAGCTTTGCTATCATTGCAGTTTAGTTGTATTCATATCCTACATTTGATTTGTAAGCATATCATGCTTCACCGAACACAGGAGGGGCTCGGCTGTCTACAAATAAAGACGGCCCATTTTTATTCTCCCCAAATATATTGAGGCTGAACCTGAACTTTCATCTTGGGGACCCCCTAGTGGCCGCGGGGGGAATCTGCACAGTCCACCTAGAGGAAGAAACGTCCCTGGTCTTCGCCAGGATGATGTTCTTGGTTCGTCTGTCTTTGTGCAGGATTACAAACGACTGCCTGATGTTCACACCAATGGGTGGAAGAGTGTAGCATCGGCCGAGGATTAACACACATTTTGGATGGAAAAGTACTTTTTAAAATGTGTTAAACTTGGACATTTGTCCTTGGCGGAGTTCTGATTTCCCTTTGAGTTTTTTCTAGTTTTTCACTCTGTCAAAATAGGTTCTTCTTCATCTTTTGGTTTGTTTTTATATCAAGGATACTTGAAGTTTATTTTATACAAATCCAGAGCAATTATATTATTTTTGGGAGGAAATTTGCAATTTTGCGAAGCTTTAAGCAATTTAATTAAATTTGATTTGAAGACGTTTCCTTGGATTTTTACACTGAACCATTAATTGATGGTACGAATAATCCCTACTGTTATTCCTTCAAGCTGCTTTTCAAATGCCTTCATGTTCTTTTCACTTTTATCTCATTTTAAAGGCTCTGAAGCGGGGGGGTCAAACTCAATTTGATCGCGACCCATATCAGCGTTTTGGTTGCACTCAAAGGGCCGACTGTAACTTCAAGACTGTATAAAAATACATATATAAATATTTAATAAATATAAAAGTATGCATTATATTACATTATTGCCTCTGCTTTGGATTATTATCGGATAGGGTAATAACTTCATAATTAACTACGTCTGAAAGCAGAAGTCTAGCGCAAATAATTGCAAGTCTCTTCAGTGCGCACGTCTCCAAATGATTTTAAAAGAAAAGCAAAATTCTGGAAAAAAAAGTCACATTTGAGATGCATTGTGGGACATGTAGTTTATGGGCAACGTGCTTCTGTAAATCGGCATGTAACCGTAAAATAAACATATTATATTATTTGCAAGCTCTTGTGGGCCACATTTGGCCTCCGGACCTTGAGTTTGACACCCCTGCTCTGAAGGGACTTTAAAAGCAGTTTTCAGTCATTAATTAATCAAATCAAACCTCCCTTTATATTTTATGAATTTGGATCAAGCTGCTTTTAATATGCCTTCATGTTATTTTCACTCGGATCTAAAAATAAAAGGTTTAAGGGAATTTAAAAAGCCTTTTCACTCGTTAATGGTTTCAAACAATAATCCCTTTATATATACACCTGAACATCAGCAGGAGAGGACTCTTTAAAGTAGAGACACTACATACTGATATACACCTGAACATCATCAGGAGAGGACTCTTTAAAGTAGAGACACTACATACTGATATACACCTGAACATCAGCAGGAGAGCACTCTTTAAAGTAGAGACACTACATACTGATATATACCTGAACATCAGCAGAAGAGGACTCTTTAAAGTTGAGACACTACATACTGATATACACCTGAACATCAGCAGGAGAGGACTCTTTAAAGTAGAGACACTACATACTGATATACACCTGAACATCAGCAGGAGAGGACTCTTTAAAGTAGAGACACTACATACTGATATACACCTGAACATCAGCAGGAGAGGACTCTTTAAAGTAGAAACACTACATACTGATATACACCTGAACATCAGCAGAAGAGGACTCTTTAAAGTTGAGACACTACATACGGATATACACCTGAACATCAGCAGGAGAGGACTCTTTAAAGTAGAGACACTACATACTGATATACACCTGAACATCAGCAGGAGAGGACTCTTTAAAGTAGACACTACATACTGATATACACCTGAACATCAGCAGGAGAGGACTCTTTAAAGTAGAGACACTACATACTGATATACACCTGAACATCAGCAGGAGAGGACTCTTTAAAGTAGAGACACTACATACTGATAAACACCTGAACATCAGCAGGAGAGGACTCTTTAAAGTAGAGACACTACATACTGATATACACCTGAACATCATCAGGAGAGGACTCTTTAAAGTAGAGACACTACATACTGATATACACCTGAACATCAGCAGGAGAGGACTCTTTAAAGTAGAGACACTACATACTGATATACACCTGAACATCAGCAGGAGAGGACTCTTTAAAGTAGAGACACTACATACTGATATACACCTGAACATCAGCAGGAGAGGACTCTTTAAAGTAGAGACACTACATACTGATATACACCTGAACATCAGCAGGAGAGGACTCTTTAAAGTAGAAACACTACATACTGATATACACCTGAACATCAGCAGAAGAGGACTCTTTAAAGTTGAGAAACTACATACGGATATACACCTGAACATCAGCAGGAGAGGACTCTTTAAAGTAGAGACACTACATACTGATATACACCTGAACATCAGCAGGAGAGGACTCTTTAAAGTAGACACTACATACTGATATACACCTGAACATCAGCAGGAGAGGACTCTTTAAAGTAGAGACACTACATACTGATATACACCTGAACATCAGCAGGAGAGGACTCTTTAAAGTAGAGACACTACATACTGATATACACCTGAACATCAGCAGGAGAGGACTCTTTAAAGTAGAGACACTACATACTGATATACACCTGAACATCATCAGGAGAGGACTCTTTAAAGTAGAGACACTACATACTGATATACACCTGAACATCAGCAGGAGAGGACTCTTTAAAGTAGAGACACTACATACTGATATACACCTGAACATCAGCAGGAGAGGACTCTTTAAAGTAGAGACACTACATACTGATATACACCTGAACATCAGCAGGAGAGGACTCTTTAAAGTAGAGACACTACAT